AGTAGCAGGAGTAGCAGTAGCAGGAGTAGCAGGAGTAGCAGGAGTGGCAGAAGCAGTAGGATTAGGGGGAGAGGAAGAAGGAGGAGGAGCAGCAGCAGCAGAAGTAGCGATGGCATTGTCGTTGCTCCCATATTTCAGCTGCTGCTACAAATGTTGCCATGGTTGCTCTCAGCTACTACTCTCCGAACCTTGAACCTTCAAGCACAGGGTCCCTCGGAGCAGAGATGTCTGAGACCGTGTCGTGGCCTTCGCCCTGGCTTGTGCCTGAGGATCTTGCGCCCAGGATGTTACCTGAAGCATAATCGCAGGCAAGTCGACGTTTCAAGATCGGAACATGCAGCCAAGTGATGATGCAGCCATTTGCAAGCCTGGACTCTTGCCCTGATGTAGCTGCGCACCCTCTACTGCGAGTGCCTGGTTGCGGACTATCGCCAGAACCTCGTCCCCGCTCTCCTGCTCAGGGTGCATGGCAGGGTGAGCGGCCGGGCATTTCAAGCGCCCACACTAATTCCTGCAAGTTGGTTGGCTCGTTCCGACGTAGCGAGAACTGTCGGTTTTGGGCGGACTCTAGTGTAGCTGTAAAAGTGTCCAATGTACTGTAAACCGATTGATTACTGGCAAGCATTTAAGATCCGTGGCAACAAAGGCCCCATCCCTCTGCGATTCACTGGCCTTTGCTGCCGTCAGCAGGGCGCTCTGCACTCCCGGGTCATTGAGTGCCTGACCAAAACAGCTAAGTGGATTGCTACACCGTCGAGCATTCTGCTGGTGCTGCATCTGAAGGCGTCCACTCCAACATGGCCTTTTCACCAGCTACTCGCAGCGACGCTTGCACCTTGGTATCCCACAGCTTCGTCCGAGTCTTAGGCTTCGAGAAGCATACCAGAAAGCTCCATGTAGGCAAGCTGACCGGCCAGGCAAGGCGAGAGTAGAGTACTCTAGCCAAGACGGACATGACAGGCTGGAAAACTGAGTTCCACGCCTTTGGATGCTTCAGAAGCTCCTCTTGAAGGAGTGCCATGGCAAGCAGTCGCAGCTACCACACAAACGATAAGAGTAGAAACTTTTCAGTTAGGGCCCTTAGCTTCAAAGCGGACTGACTACAGCTTTCGGGATCGGCACCATTTTCGATCTAGGGAACACCTAAGTGGGCAAAGCCTGTCTGTGATAAGGTGTTCACCTTCATGTAAAGCGCATGCACGAAGGACCTGCCCTCGTTCAGGCTGCGTGGCTTGCTGTCATATGGGTGACTAAAGTCAGAGGCTGATTGAGCCAGATTGCACATATACAAGAAGACGACTAACAGCCAGTGAGGCGATGATGAGGCCGGCAAGACTATCGGCCATCTGCCGCCACATATCATCACAAGGCGGTGCTCCGATACACTGTCAATTGTCACCAGGTATAGCAGGTCTTATCCACATTCGGTGCTTCACATGGCCAATGGCCGATAGCCAGATCTATTATCTCACCTGCTTTACCAACCTCATCGGCAACCCTGACAGTTTGGTTGTGCTGTCTTATTCCGCAACATATCCCTTGATCCTCTTATGCTACTACTGTTACACAGTTACACTGTCCTATGCACTTCTTTCCAGACGAGATCATTCACTGGCTAATGATCTTCGGGACTTTGCGTGTACCCATGCTCTCTCAGGCTGTCTGTCTTACGTGTTATTTACACCGACTTGCTTCATCTGATACCATCGGTGAAAAGCTGCATCTCCATGAACAAGACACCGCTAAGAAACCATCAACATAATGTTTACTGTGCTTGTTTCGCTGCTTGCGACGGGAGTCAAAGCAGCACAGCTTCTCTGGGCCCCTCGACGTCCACGGGGGGGCGGCCGGCCGGTTATGGCAGCGCGCCGTGCAGCCTGTTCAATGACTTAAAGCATCAGGATTTCGAGGGCTGACGGCCGAAGCTCTACAGAGAAAGACCCATCCAGACCATCCTTGACACTTCTCCGAGATCGAAGGGCCAAGGGCTTGGACCCCAACACGGGATCGGCTGCGGGGCTGCTAGGGAAAGTAAAGTGACACAGGCTGCACAGGCGGTCATCCGGTCATCTTCGAGAATGTCGCGTTCGTTCACGTCCCCAATAGCGGGCAGGCACCGGAGTGGCTGGCACTGGATGCAATGACGGTGCCGTCTTTCGCATCGATGAAAGAGACACCCTGATGGTCTAGTTCCTCAATCCTTCCGAGACTCATCTGCGGCGGCATCGAGATCCCCCAGGGAGTAGCGGCGTCCGCAACATGAAATTCCTAAACATGGAACCCTTTTACCTGGCATCGACAATCCGATGATCAGCACAGACACACACAAGCGTCACAAGCACACAAGTCAGCACCTGAACCACCCCTCTAGGACTAAAGGAAAAAGCATGCAACGCTAAGACGAAGCCGCGACTGTTTTTTGACAAGCCCGATTCCCCGAGCACGTCGCCCTGGCAAGCGAGGGCCTCCACATCCTCCTTGCGATTTCGATCCCGCATGGAGCAGCACTGGCGACCCCCGGCCTCATTAGCTCGGGACTCTGTGATTCGCAGAACCGCCTGGGATGCCTAGAAACCTGGCGTGCTGCAGCAATTTTGGCTTGGGCCCCAGCGACGAAGCTCCACAAGTAGGAGCCGAAATGGCCCAGGGTCTGGCAAAACTCAGGGCTGTATGGTATAGTATAGTATAGCAAAAGTATAGTATAGTGAAGTGTAGTATAGAAAAACATAGTATAGCATAGTATAGTATAGTATAGTATAGTATAGGTAAATATAGTATAGTACAACATAGCATAGCAGCTGGGGGCGGCCTCCTGAAGTTGAACGCCATAGTCCTCAGGCTCTAGCCTTGGTAAGCCGAAGGTCGACGGATGAGTGTTGATGCACAGCAGGCGGCACTGCCGGCACAAACTCTCTCCCTGGACACCCTCTGAACCGAAAATTTTGACGAATAGCACTGAAAGACGGGGGGGGTCACAGTCGTACGAGTGACAGGCAACAGATGTCGTGCAAGCTTGCCCAGACTAGGTCCGATCTCATGGGAGCATGCAGGACCGCCCAGACTCCAAGACGCTCCTGAATTTCGCGAACCCCGGGCGGACCTAAGCCGCGAGCACTTCGTCCCTAGGCACGGCATACTGAGAGGCCCTGTACTCCTCGTGCGACTTGGGCAGGGAAGATACTGTTCTCATTGCCCTCATGGTTCTGAACAGTCTCGCGATATTGCTTCTAGCCCGACAGCCCTTGATCGGTTGATATTTGCTACTGCTAAACCTGTCATTCTTGTGCACATCACTGCTGTTCTGCCAACCTGAATTTAGTCACACGAGTACCGGTTTTGTTACTCTTCATGCGACAACTGATATGATTGTTCCTTGTGTCTGTTCTTCATTATGTTGCTTGCCCTTGCTGCTCCTAAGATTCCATTTCCTTGTCGACTCGTCTTGCTCACTCTGCTCGTTATGATTCCGCTGGGCAACGTTAGCCCGCTGACCTTACAGCGATGAATGCTTCTGACCTGTGCCAAGGCAGGTATCCTTTGGCGTGTACTCTTCCTCGTCGAGGTGCCGCCGATAGCCTCCCCAGCTGGCGATGGGATCTTGGCTTTGTTTGGTTTTATGGCTCGGGCTTCGGGATCTGAGGTCGTACCTGAAGTTCAGAAAGGTGCCTGCCGATTCGACAACTTCCAGACATCCTCAAGAAGACTGGTGCTCCAGCGAGTTGAACCCAACAGTAAAAAAACAAGCCACTGGCAAAGCACCATGAGGCTTGGAACCCGAAACCCTCGTCCACGGCCTGCACCGCCTCCCTTGAGACCACCACCTGGTGCTGTGGAAGATTGGATGTTGATTCAACCGCCCAGGGTCTGTTTGCCGAACCTTTGACAGACTTGGTTGGAAATGTTCTGAGATTTCGGCTGCGCGAAACTCGCAAGTGGTGTCTCATCCCTGCCACTCGGCTTGGGCTGCGGCCATTGTACCCATAGCGGTCTGAGTACACAAACTCAGAGTCCAGGCCCCCTCTAGACCTGGGATCTCTGTCCTAAAGTCAAGCATCTGACTGATCACGTTTTCCGAGCTGCGCGTGCAGTGGGCCTGGTTGCGTGATGCCTCGCAGTGGCACATGCTTCCAAAACAAACCGTGCGGAAGCGGCCAACCCGATAAGCAGCTGAAGCTTGTGCCATCCGCGCCTCCGTAGTCCATGTGAGAAGGCTTGCGGTCTCCAGGGCCTCCAGGGACTATTCCCATCTTGCCCACGTCTCAAAGGTTTGGCGACTTGGTCTAAGCATGGTGACACTGTCTTACGCCAACAAGCTCTACTTGGACTCTTCATGCGAGTCGAGATACAGACTGACTGCCCTCACAAGAACCGAACGGTTCGGACTGCACCGGCAGGTTCTCATCAAGTCCAACAAGGCCTTCTCGGACTCCAAGAGGATCTGCAAACAGCACATCGCTGCTCACGCTCATGAGATCGCGCTGCTCCCGGCCTTGATTGGAACCCAAAAGAAGACAGAAAACAACATCCGATTGCATTGCTTTCGGGTTACAACACGGACGACATCAGACAGTTGCGACACCTCAGGTTCGCCAAATCTGCTTGGCAGGGACCTGCACTGTGACTGGATGTAGTTCCAGTCACAGTGACTAGGCGTGCCTGTCAAAGATGCTCTTCTGAGATTCAGGCTCGTGAAATCCTCTCGTAGATAGGCCATGAGCGGCTGCACTGTGCCGAGGAATGTCGGTGTATGCGTTTCAAAAGCTGAGCATTCTGAGATTCACAGGTTTGTTGGCTGGACGATTTCGGAAACTTCGCTGGAACAGCCCGCGAAACTGTTTAGCTTCAGAGTCGTCCGACTGGCAGAAACGATACCACAAAAGCACTTCGCCATTGTTGCACTTTCAACGATTCCTGATCCGGGCATACTAGCCGCACGAACCTTTCTCAGAGATTGTGGGGTTTCATTCAGCATTGCCTGCTCCCTTCAGCAGCCAGGTGCCAACGTCACTGTCGGACGAGCTTCTGGCCAGCGCTGCGGTCCAACAAGCGGAACATCACTTTTCACGTTCGCGTCAAGGCCGGGCCCCGTCGAATCTGAGCTTCAGCTTGTAGTTGTCTTGTTCGTCCGAGAAATCCACATGCATCGAATCCTTCAAGGTTTTGGGTCTTGGGTTGCCAGTTCCTGCCGTATCAGCACTGTCGAAGTTATTTGAGTCGCTAAGCCCTCAGGCCCTTCAAAAGCCCTCAAGCCATACCTCCGAGGCATTCTAGGGTCCAAAGCCAAGCCTGCGGCCTGACATCACAGGAGCACACTATACTACCCTCCTGGGAGTGCACACCCCAGGCCCAGCCCATCGATACGTCCCAAGACCACATCGGTGAGCACCACATGCAGGTTGAAGCAAGAAGCAGAGTTGGGAGCCCGGATCTTTTGCTTTCAAGCCAGGGCACGAGACCCATGTTGGGAATCGCAATCCAAACAATCGGCGAGCTATGCACATTGAGTTGCCGAGGATGGCTCGCAAATCCTGGCAACTTACCGCAAACTTCGGTACCGCATTCAGCATTCATTCGCTGGAGCTCCATAAGATCGCGTGGGCGTTCGTGCCTGAGTCATGTACTCGGCTTTTGCGAGATCTGAGGTTCTCCCCGTGAGTATCCTGTGTTTTGTGGCCTGAATGAAAGCTTTACAAACAAAACCCGACAAAAACTTCGAACTGGATGGAACAGGCCAAGCTCCGCCTAAACCAAGAGAGCAGACGGCTCTTTTCGACACGCTTGCCCGAGTGAGGTTTAAATATCTTTTGGTGAAAGCCAACTCTGAGTGAGCTGGTTGGTTGCATGCTCAATTGTGCCCAGGCATATGTTCCTGGTCAAGCGTTTCAGGTTTGCGCAGCCGGCTGTCGCTTCTGCTCCTTCTATCACCATTGATGGCTGTGCAACAGCTTGCCTCTGGATCTATCTATCTATCTGTCTATCTATCTATATGGCCTTCTCAACCCGCTGTCAGGTCAACACACATGCTCTGTGTCATATCATACGGCCGGCAGTACCGCCTTTACATAAAGCTGCCTTCCTTTTGCCCCTGGCCTTAGCGCAACACTGACAATTTCTCAGAAACCTGCAGCGAAAGGCAGGCTCATCCTTCAGCATTGCCGTTTCCTTTGCCCAAGCTTGGGACTGCTACGATGTGCGATGCTCCAAATGCCCGACAAAAGGCCCGCCCCAACGAAAACTTGGCAGCCTTTGCAGATTGTTCTGCAGCTGTCCGTGTGTGGACGCTTTGCCATGTATCTCCATGCCAGGCTTATCGAAGGAAAGGGTACTGATATCTTAAATCCCCTACTCCGCCTGTGTCTGGAACAACTGTCGCTTCGTCGGACACCTGATAGCCGTGAAAGCTCTGCTCAGATCGGTAACGCCCGGGGCAGCTACGCCAGGCCTCTGCCTTGTTGGCGGAACTTGTTTCAAGAGTCTACCTTTTCGGGTCTGGCTAAGGCTACACGTGTTCCGGCAGTTGGAGGGTCGGATGTTGGGATCTAAACAGGCTGACTCAGATTATTGTCGCACTCCAACAGTCTGTTGGCCGCTGAGTCATGTCTGATTGCACTTCCATGGTTCCAGAGCCACTTCCATTGTTCCAGAGCATGCAAACAGAAGGCCAATGTCCTACTGCCTGCCAATGGTGGGAGGTCTTAATTTGTTGCTTTCCCTGGAACCTGCCTGCTTACAGTCTGCACCAGCCGTTGCCTGCTCACGTGGCAATCTGTCTTTCCATACGCAAAGAGTCACATGCTAATGTTGCGAAACCGAGGGTCTCTGAGCTTCCAGAAAGCTGGTCAAGCCACCTTAGCGAGCTTCGTCGATTCAAAGACTGAGACGGTGTCGTGTCGGCGCTGGACCGTGATTTCCGCGGTGGGGCGCTGAGTTTCTCGCAGAACGGATAACTTCAAGCTAATTCGTCTCACATTGTCAGTCACACCCCATGCGAGTAGCGAGAAGTTGATCGACCGTCTGCCTCTTACAAACGCAGTAGACCCAACTACAGTAGACCTTGCCCCAACTGAACCAGTCGTTCTCAACACTTATGGGACCGTGCCGAGACACCCATAGGGGCGCTGCCACCGCCCGTAACAAAGTCCTGCAGGATGGGGTCTCTGCATTCAGGCAGCGGTTTAAGCATTTTCACATGTGCAGTCTGTGCAGTTTTAACGAATCCAGTTTGTTCCAAGCTTTTTGCAGTGTCTATCCGTCGAGAACTGCTTCATTCCTTCACTCGGGCTCTGTGTGGAAGCCACGCCGAAGCCAAGCCAATTTTCAGAGCGACTCAAGCCCCCAGCCACCCGTTGTGACAATCAGGTCTTTTCCTGCTCCCACAGCCCACGAATCCTGGTGCAGAATGCACCTCTTGAGAGCCACAACTACTATCGTGCCTCGCACTACGGTATTGATCTTATAGGATACTGCCATTACTATCACCACAGACACCTCTTCAACCGCCGTACATACTCCGGCAAACCCTCTACAGTTCCCCATTACTGGCCGACCTGACCATAATTGGCCGGTCGGGGTAGCCACAGAGGTACTTGAACGAGGCCGCCGTAGCTGGAAATGGGGCTGCGAGACCTGGAACGAGACTTGGAGCTCTCGGGCTTCGGAGGTTCTCCACTAAAGCCTGTCAGGAGATTCTGTCCGTCATCAAGGTAGGGGCGACCAGCAACACTGAGGTCGGCGCCGTTTCTTCGTCTTGTCCTTTTTCGACTTCTTCTTTTTCTTTTCAGACGGCGTGCTGCTGCTACTGTAGCTACCTCACAAGAAGCCGGGAGCAGATGCTGTCAACTGCCGGCATTCCATACCAGAGCAAAATACAAGAAGGAGGCCCTTCAGAGATGCGCATTCTACCCGTCACCACCATGCTGAATCCGAGGCTACAGTAGCCTCCACAGTGTCCAAAATGCAGACCCGGTTGCTGCTGCTCTTGGAGCTGCTGCTCCTCGGGACAGCAACTTGGATTCTAGAGGTTTCTCAGGCTTTGGACAAACCACGCTGACCCTGGCTTGGGCAGTGCTCAGAGCCTGACCTTGCCCTGGCGCGACTACAATTGCAGATGGAACTTGCTTGCTCTTCGCCAACCAAAGAGACATTGTGGACTTTCAGCCAAGGCTCCCTATGGCAATGCTTTTCTTTCCCGGAGTATTGGCAGCTTTGGCACGTGCTAATCGGATGCGCTCCCCGGCTGTGAGTTTGCGCCCTGGGCAGCAAGAGCAGCATACGAGCTGTCACTGTATCATCATGTTATATGATAAAGCACACAGGGCTTCTAGTCTACATGCCTTGATTGAAGACTATCTCCAGGGTGTTTTCGGGTTTCGACAGTGGCTTCGTGACGGCTGCTTCGCGACTTCTGAAGGGTTTACTGCAGCCTCTTGGAACCTTTAACGGGCATATCAAAGGCTGCTTACAAGCTATTTCAAGATTGTTCAGAAGCTTTGTAAAGGCATTGAGAAGCGCTTCTGAAAACTCGACAGGGTGGCATGTGGAAACTATACCCCTTCTCTGTAACTACAAAATGGTAGCTCCGCACGTAAATGCCCAGAAGTCCATGCCCACATCAACGTGAGCGACCCTTACACAGAACTTGCGTGGACCTTAGACACTTTCTTGCACACCTCCACCCGGAAAATTCAGAGCTTCGGAGCCCAACATGGACGCAATAACAAAGAAAGCTCCGACTGGTCTTTGCAAACATGTACATTGCATGTCTTGGCACAGTGCTGGCTACAACTGTTTTGATGAATCCATGCATCTGAAGCACATATGTGGAATCACCTGCGTTTTGGGCTGTTGGCTTCGGGAAAGTCGAGATTTCGGTCTTACGAGAGGATAGAAGCACCCTTGACCGAGAAATCCTTGCTTCGAGGAACTACGCTCTTCATACAATTCAACTTCACCGGGCGGATAGCTCCCTTCCGACTGTGTATAACTAAAACAAGAATAACAGCCAACAATACTAATATCAGAAAAAAGAGCGCTTGACGCCACGCCGGCCTCCTGGGCCCACCGCTGTCACATCGTCGCCGTCTTCCGCCGGCTCTGCCGCCGCGTCCTGGGAGCTGTGAAAGTTCCGCAGCCGGGTTTGGGGTTTATGGTTTGGGTTTTGGGTTTGGGGCTTAGGGTTTGGGGTTTTAGGGCGATCGGTTCCAAATTGGAGTACCTTGTACTGTGATGTCTCAGTTGGCGCGGACGCATTTCAGAGGCCCTTGGCTCAGCTCATCAATCAAGCTTGCAAACCCTGGGGAAATAAGATCAGATCATAAGACGAAAAGCCTTCGGCGACCGTTACCATGCGCTCCGAAGAGTGCCGCCCAGTATGATTTCTTGATTTCGAGATGGCTCGGTGGGGATGATGCTTACAGTTATACTGCTGGGGCTGCAATGTCAAGCAGAGCGGTGGTCAGAAGAAGGTGGACATTTTGAACGACGAGCATGACGAGAACCAGAATCGTTATGTTACTGGCACGCGTTGACAGGATATTTCAGCCGGTCTTCAAAAAGCCAAATAATCACAACGACAAATGGCAACAGGCACAGTAGCACCACTGGAACAATACGAAGAAACTCACCAATGTCCATACCAATGTAGCAAGTAGCAATAGCCAGTGCAGATAAAAGGAACGGCACCAGGTACTACCTCAACACCACGGCTGGGAAAACTGTGGTTACCTAACTTGCCCACAATACCGGATCTACCCTTCAAAGATTCCAAAGGCGTGTCTGCCTTGGGCTGTGCATCCGTCGCAGCCGCGGCATCGGCAGGCGGCGCCTCGGAAAGAAGAACCGCAGAACAGAAACACTTACTTACCGTACTTACCTCCGCAAGGGCGAGAGAGAGCGAGAGCGAGAGCGAGAGCGAGAGAGAGAGAGAGTGTGACAGAGACAGAGACAGAGACAAAGACAGAGACAGACATATGGATGAAAAGACCGATGTAACACACAGAGAACTATCTGGACACAGGCAGACCCGCAGAAAAGGTGTTTGTGTATGTATGTCTGTATGTATGTGTGTGTGTGCATGTATGTACATACAATATATATATATATATACACATACATGTGTGTTTATCTATTTATTTATGGATTTTCTTGTATATTTAGAGTTACATTTTTTTCCTACAAGTGTACCGTATCATTTGTCAATGCGCGGTTTGAAGGGCTGCTTGGGGCTATGCAGTTCCTGGTTTCTGCGTGCTTTTGAATTCGGGGACCGTTGAAGGCTTCAGGGGTAAAGGACAGCTGGGACCAGACTGAATGGAACTCCGTAGCATTGGTGATGTCTACACTCAAGAGCAATTGTCGAAGCTGCCAGTCTGAATCCTGAGCCTATATTGCAGCTGATCTTCGTCCGGAGCCTTTTCTTTCTCGGTCTCCTTTTCTTTCTCTTTGTCGTTCTTCTTGTCCTTCTCCTTGTCCTGGAGATATGGAACAAGAAAGCCGCCGTGCGACGCGAAGTTCGCGGAGGCAAGCGAAGGCTGATGCAGAGAGAGGCAAGCAGGGGGAGCGCGAGAGAGAGAGAGAGAGAGAGAGAGAGAGAGAGAGAGAGAGGGGTGGAGAAAGAGAGCCAGCAGCGAACATGCAGGAGAACGCACCTTCTCCCTGTCTTTGTCTTTCTTATCCTTTTCTTTGTCCTTCTCTTTGTCCTGCGTGGGGACAGGGCAAGGCGCGACAAGGGGCTCCTCGAAAGCTGCCACAGGCTCAATAAGACAAGGCCTAGAAGGCCGAGGCCAAGTCCCGATCCTTGTCTTTGTCCTTTCTCTCTTTATCCTTCTCTTTGCCCTGAGGGCCAGAGCTCAGGAAGTTCCAGTCACGTTCTCAAGGACCGAGGTGAGGTAAGATTTTGTGTGCACAGTCTTTTGGATTCCGTACAAAAACTTACCGCTGTCCTTCTCTTTGTCCTTTCGTTCTCGATCTTTTTCCTGAGCAGCCGCCGGAATCGGGAACCACAAGCCGTGACAACACGCTCCTTGGAGCACTTCTCCCTCCCTATGGATCTCGAGTAAGCCAAGAACATCCAAGAACTAAACTGCCAATTCCTCAGCCAATTGCTTGCGGGGCTCCTTCCCACGACTCCGACTACGGTCCTTCTTCTTGTCCTTGTCCTGAGCGAGATGAGGAGATTGCGATGCAAGCGAGAAGATGCAAGGCACCAGGTGCTCCTTGTCTTTTTTCTTGTCCTGCATCAGAAGAAGCGGCGCCCATAAGACATAACAGATGAGTCGATACAGCTTCGGCACGGACTGAGATGAACCAAGCCATGTTTGGCAGACGCATTCAGACAAACGGGAGCGTAGCCGTGTGTACGCAGCTCCTTGTCTTTTTCTTTGTCCTTCTTCTTTCTGTCTGCCGATTCACTTCTCCCTCAGCTTTGGACCCAAATGCATCAGTGTATAATATGAAGCTCGCCGCCCTGCTGCCGCAAGCAAGGAATGAGCCCCTGGCGGCCCATTTCCCCTAGCCGGCCGCACGCCAGCGGGGAGCGCAGGCAAAATCGCTGCCACCTTGTGCCATTGGCTGCATAGGGCTGGCCTAAAGGCCTGTGTCCCGTTCCGCAAGCTGAAGTCTATTCAAGACTTCGGTTTCGAAGTCCAGAGGCTGTGAAATCCATCGAGTGACCGAGGATGAAGATTTGGACAAGAAAAGCCTAGTAAATTCCCAAGTCGGGGGCTCCATGGGCCCGGTAATCAAAGCTACGTGGCCTGGGAATGTGAACTCCGAATCCACTGGAGCGTGTGAAATCACGCTGCAGAGTCTTGCACTTGCTACACCGCTGCCTGCACCTCAAAGCTCGGAGAGCTGATGCAATCGACTCAAAGCTGAACCCGCAGCACCCGGGCCTCGAGCAATCTCCGGGCTCCGGGCTTCAGGAAAATCCTCTAGCCGCTGCCCGCGCCCTACTCTCCAGCCAAAAACCCTGAAACAGCTGCGGCAAACCGCTCCGCCTGTTCACGGCCATTTTTTCGACTTTGGAGCTCTGCATGTAGGATGTAAGAAAAAGCAGCTTGAGGCATCGCAGGTACCGGTGGATGGCTTCTTTCCAAGTTCAGTTGAGCCCGAAACTCTGTTCTCAAGTCCACATCGCCTTCCCTCTGACTCAAGATGACTCAAGTTCGGGGCCAAATCCGGAGGACGTGGCGCCGGCAAAAGCTGCGGGAAAGCGAAGCCTTGGTGAGCGCAGTGCAGTGCAGAGGAGTGGGGAGGAGTGGAGTGGAGTGAGTGAAACAAGAGAGAGACAAGAGTCATAGAGACGGAAAAGAAGGAGGGAGGACAGAGTGAGACAGACAGACAGACGGACGGACGCACGGACAGACAGAGACAGACAGAGACAGACAGAGACAGACAGAGACAGACAGAGAGAGGCCGAGAGGCAAAGAGGCACAGAGTGAGAGGGTGCTTTGGCAGTCCCATGCCATGCCAAACTTCGGCTTCGGTCGTGACTATCTGTTAACTTCTTCGTCCCCTGGGTTACCCACGATACCGGCTCGACGGCGAGCTGGATGCCATCGCAATCTCGGGTTCACATTGTCACTGTTTTTTTGGTCACCGCCCAGGGCCCACGACACCGTCCTGTTCGGCCTAGTTGAGGCACTTCTGCAGGGTTCGAAATTCCGGCTTAGTTGCCTGCTTTCTTGCTTGTGTGTCCTTGCCCGTTCCTCTAGTCCCCCTTCGGTGTTTGCTTCCTTCCTTCAGCTCGTCCTGTTACACTCCTACCCAATGCTATATGATCCAAGGAATGTTCTTAGACAGCTCCCTCAATCAACAGCATTTCGCTGCATAAGACTGAGGCGACAGCCAGAAGACACGACGTAAGGGTTCAGCTGCCTGACCAGAGGAAAATCGAATCACGAAAGAGATGCCTGACGAAAGAGATGCCTGTCTGCAGTTTGTTGGCTCTCAAAGCGGGATGCTCATCGACCCTCTGAGACTCTGGCAAGCAAGCTAGAACATACTGTCCTGCCGAGTGCCTCGCTCCAAAATTATCTCTGGCTGTCTGGTGGCTACGAGTGCGGAGCTGTTTTGGTAATTTGCTCCCGGAAGGTCCTGAAATGTGCACCCCTGCAATGCCAGGAGCCTCAAGTGGATCGCAGGAGCCAAAGCACCATACGCTGTAAAGGCCAGTAGCCTGCACGAGCTTCCGCCAAGAGCCACGCTCTTGGGGCTTCGGAATGGAAAGGATTGCACCATGGATCTACCGCCCCGCCGCAGAGGCCCCAGGAACGCACCCGTATCTGGTGCTCCTTGAAAGCAGAAAGGCCATGTTGCACAACGACGAGTCTACTGGTGTGAGCCCCTATCTGCCCCTATCTGCCTCAGAAGCGCGGCGATGCCTTGGGCAGCCTGGATCATGTAAGGGCACCACTTGCTACTGTCTGCCTTACACCACGACAAAGTTTGACCCATGCTCTATGTCTATGTAGCGAGACATTTGTACAAGACTTCCCTGGCAACAACAGCAGAAGCCCCGCCTCGACTGCGCCGTGACCCGACCGGATCGAGCCAAGGCAAAGGGAAGCCTGGCTTGGGATTCAGGGGAATTGCCAAGGTCTCAAACCTCCCGGTATGAGGTCGGCCCCTGCTCAAGATTTTGGCTCTGCAATGGCAGAAGATTCGAGTCCGACGCCTTTGGCGACTAGCTATTCTGGCCGGCGGGCTGCCTTCTTCCGAGACAAAGCAAGATCTCATTCGTGTACTTTCTCATCGGGATTTCTCACACTGTGCTGTGTCGACCATGCCAAGATGTGGTTCGGATGCATCTCGCAGCCCTCCGTCGCATTGGGCAAACAGCCCAAGGGAACTCCTACAGCTGATGAGTGCGCATCTGGTCAACCTCTGTCGGAACTCTACGTTTCCACCGAGAAATGCTGAGCAGGTTAAGAGATGTGAACCCTAAACCCTAAAAACCCTAACCCCAGATAGCTGCTAGCGAACAATTCTGATTTGAGGAGACTCTCGCAGTCAACTTGCAGAACTTTCTGAAGGTCTCGGCAGTCTTATCCTGAATTCGCGACCCCAAAGATTCAATTGCTTGCTAGATGCCAGACTTCTCCAGCACTCAGGAGCGTTGAAAAATGAAAAGGCCAGGAGAGAAGCAACGCTGACGTCGAGCCTGAAGCCTTCATGAGGCTTCCCAAAAGCGTCAGAAATGAAGTTAAGGGTTCTAAGCTCTGCGGCGTCTGCGCAAAATGCCTCCAAAGCCGTTTCGATTCGGCTGCCACTTCAAGCGCCGCGGCAGTGGCAGAGTATGCTCAGCTACATGTAGCTGTTCAACCCAGAACTAAGTGTTTCGTCAGCTCTGCCACCGCTACCATGCAGCCTACTTCACGCGGGGCTCCTTCGGAACAGACTCGGGCTAGAAGCTGGGTAGCTCGCATACCGTGTCAGGAGCCCTAATCCTGCCAGCTCAGAGCACTGGTCTGTTCAGGTGGCGGTGATATCCCCCACGGACATCAACACCCGCCTTGCTTCGTTCAGTTCGCATTTCGTTCGGAGCTTCACAGCGACGCATGGGTGTTCGCGTTCCCTCTGCTTGCACTCGCTGCTGGTGCTGGGGAGCCTCGAAAAGTCGACGCTCGACTCGGTTCAGGGACTCCTGCTGAAAGAAGAGACAACGGTTGCAGGCTGCTCTATTCTCCCGTGGCTCCTTGCCCACGATAACGCGGTAGGTGTCGCTCGCAGATTCAACCGGGCACCTGACGCAAAGCACTAGAGAGAGGGCTTCATGCTCAGGAGCTCTCTGCAAACTCTCAAGTCGCAAGAGAAGATTCTAGCATCGGCACCGACCGGGCCCTAAGTTTATCCTTCGCTTTGCTTGCATCCGCCCTGCCTCTTTGGCCTTGGAGCCTTGGCTGGTGGCCTCACGAGGCACCCACCAGGAGCTCTAACCCGGGCCGAAAGGATTTCGATATGCCTTGAGGGATGCATCAAACCTGCTCGCGTTGTACTTCACAGCTTCATTTCGGGACTGCAGCGCTTGTTGATGCAGACATCTGGAAGAGCTTGACTTCACCACAATGTCAATACAACTGCCAGGTGGGTGCCCTCCCCTTCAACAGGCCTACTGCTGTCAGGTTCACAAACAGCACTGTCCCATAATCATGAGGATGCGACACAAGATAATGACAAAACGATGATGTTACGATTGCCTTTCCTGCCAACGTGATCAGAAGTAGATTGTCAGTTCTCGGGCGGTACTCATTACTGCCGTACCACATTCTCAACATCATTAACCAATGTGATACATGTATACCTTTTGCTTGGACTTCTGCTGTTGGAACTCGGCAGATCTCCTTCCTCTGAGGTGCCGGCGTTTTCGCGGTCTCCGCCGCGGCGGTAACCTACACAGGCTGGTTGATGTTGACCGTGGCATTAGACATCAACTATCCCTACAATCGCTAGCCATGCAAGCTTTGTCACACGGGTCAACAACACTTTGGAATCTGCCACCGCACTGATGTTTCTTTCTACGAGTAGTACCACCACCCCGACTGATGTCTCTTTCTACAAGTCGTACCAGTACTGCTTCACGCATGCATCGAGCCAATGCAGGCCTTCAGGAAAACCGCGAAGGGGTCCGACGAAGCCTTATCCTGTAACGACTTCGCCGCACCCTCAGAGCTTGACGCAATCGCAAGAAACTCCGCAGGTGCTAGTTAGCGTCTTGGCATTCTGCGTACAGAAACTGTTTGCAAAATGTCTAATTCCTGCATACGTTCCTGAGAAGGAGACCATTGCCATGTCGAATGTGCGCCTCAGGCTTTCAGATATGATATTTGATGATAGCAACAACAAGACGTATCTACATTAGTCTCAGAAACTCGAACGACGATGATTAACCTACGGAGGACAATGACAACAATGATGGTGATCGTGATGAATGGGATGACTGCTGTTGCTGTCGCTCCAAACACCACCACTACTATTGCCGATGCTGCTATCACTAGCACTAACTACCACTGTCACAGCCACTACCACTACCACTGAGGCTGCTGCTGCTGCTGCTGC